ACGGACCGAGGCACCCGAGGAAGAGTTCAAGGTAATAAAAATGAAAGAAGGCGGCTGCAGGAGCCTCCTACCCGTCCTGCTCAGAGCAGGTGAAGGTCCTCTGACTCCTGAGTCCCAAGAGGACAGTGTGGACCCCTTGTGGAGAGTCCAGTGGAGTTGAGATAATTCACTTCATTGTTTCAGGTCTCTAGCTCGCCATCTGACCTGGCCTGTGTATACAACAGGACCAACAATAAATCATGTGCACATCAAAGTATCAACCAATCCAGTAATTCAAAGACATAATCTTTACATAATCAGCATCTAAATCACACAAAATAAATAATCAGTGCTTCCAATTATCATTTGTCAAATACATCGATATAAAGCTCTTAAAATAGTGTCTATTGATCGATAAACACCAGAGCAGTACTGGTGCTTAAAGTGCAAAGAAGTGCAGTACAAACATTGGTATAACTGGCTAAAAAACACCAAAGTGCATCCACAGAACAGCCCTTTAGGAGTTACACACACACAACACACTACACATCCACAGAACAGCCCTTTAGGGGTTACACACACACAACACACTACACATCCACAGAACAGCCCTTTAAGCACCCGATTGTCACACGTGTTAAAACAATCTAGCATTTTAAAATAGTTTCAGAAGGTATTCCACTAAACCTACCTGCAGCAGTTCACCCTCCCAGCTTCAACCTCACATTCCCCGTGTGTGGCATATAAGCCAATGAGAGCATAGCGCACCGTCACGTGACACGGAGATGCATTCAATTTTATATTGTACTGATTATTACAATGCTTAATACAATAATTAATATGATACTTTTTTTTATTTCATCTAAGAAGGGAAAAACCTTGCAGGGTTTTCTACCTGGGTTACATAAACATTAAAACTAAAAAAGCTGCAGAAACGGGTATAGCTCCTTTAATTGTGCCACTATCTCTGGAGGGATTCAGGCCGGTTCTGTAAAAAGTCAGTCTCAAGAAGATGCTGATGTCCAGATCGTCCATTTTCTTCCCTTTAATCCATTTCTGGGTCAGGGGGGCAGTCAGAGCTCCATCCAGTGCACACAGCCCCAGCCAAGTCCAGACTGACAGCATTTAAACAGAACAGCTGTTGTCACTAATGATAGAACCAAAAGACTACAGGATGATCCAGAGTTATTGACCAAACTGAAAATTCTTCCCTCTTCATGTTTTAATGTTGAGTTTGTCGAAAAAATTAGATTTGCAAGTTCTTCACAGGATTAAGTTGGAGTCAGTTTTTGGCCTTGTGGACGTTTCTTGGTCCCGCACGTGAAGGGTTAGGGTCGGTGGAATATGGCTGTGAAAAAGGACGTAGCTCCACCTTCTGAAACGAGAGGCCCAAACAGGAGAGTCTAATGGACCAGTTGTTTCTGACACTTACGGCTGGGATTAGGGCGTCTCCAACAGGATCTGGCCTTTAGATTCAGCGTCAGCACCATGTGTGTCGTTACAACTGCTTTGATCCAATTCCTTCATCACGAATTTGACAGTTTTCGAGACCAAATGTTTGCAACTAGCGATAAAACCATGGAAAATATAAGTGTTTTATAAGGTCCAAGAACTTAAGTTATAATTGATGCTACTGAATGTATTTGTTCTCCAGCAGCACGCTAACATGTGCTCATCATGTGAGGCTAGAACATCAGGATCATGAAGCTGTGTCTCTGAGAGTTGGTAATTCAATCTGGTTTCTTTGATCAAATAAATCCGGGGGACCTTGTGACGGCAGACAGTGGGTTTACTATTCAAGATTTATACAAGAAAAAGGTTCTGATTTAAACATTCCCCCTTTTTAGCCTGAGACAAGTTCACTGCTGAGGAGGAACCGCAGACTGAAAGAATTACTAATGCTCAATGTTGAAAGGTTCTTTGAGCGACTGAAGAAAAACAGGATATTAAAAAAACATCCAACTTTCGTTCAAATATGTTTTATCTCAGATGGTGTTTGTGTCGCCGGGTAACTACAGTACCTCAGTAACTATAACTACCTCAGTAACTATAACTACCTCAGTAACTATCTGCTAACACTTTCAGACATATTAGGAAAACAATGAATAATATATAATGATTATATTATTAACGAGCTCTCAGCAGCCCGCCTGCATAAGCCTCTTGTACTTCCTTGAAATGTGATGAAGATTTATTATTTATTATGATCTGTTTTTAATTGGATTATCATTATTATTATTATTATTATTAGTATTACTTAATAATAACATAAGTTGTGCGAGTTTAACCTGGTGCTACGTAGTACGAGAGAAAGGTATTTTTCTGAAATGATTGAAGGCTGCAGCAACAATCTCTGTGTTCTGTTCTCAACAGTTAATAGATTAAAGCTGCATTACCTCACTTTATTTTTGTATTCGTAAGATACATCCAATCCATATCCATGCAGTGCATCGGGACATTCTGAAGAATAAGTAGTACAGATTTGTGCTGACGTGTCATTTTATTTTAGATCGAGTTGTGGTGAAACAAGGAAGACCTGTGGCTTTTCTTGAGAAAAGCCACAGGTCTGTGGTTGGCACAGACAGGTCTGTGGTTAGCACAGGCAGGTCTGTGGTTAGCACAGGCAGGTCTGTGGTTGGCACAGGCAGGTCTGTGGTTAGCACAGGCAGGTCTGTGGTTAGCACGGGCAGGTCTGTGGTTAGCACAGGCAGGTCTGTGGTTAGCACAGACAGGTCTGTGGTTAGCACAGACAGGTCTGTGGTTAGCACAGGCAGGTCTGTGGTTAGCACAGGCAGGTCTGTGGTTAGCACAGACAGCTGAGGTAAACAAGCGGTGGAGGCTAACCTGAAACTTCTGTGTCTTTGTTACCGGTTACTGCTTACTCAGAGAAACAGACAAAACAAAGTCTTGGTCCTCCGCACTTCCCGGTCATTCTATGGTCACGCCACGTTCAAATGTGCGATCCATGTGAGACATGAGCTCCGTAAACAACAGCACATGAGCACAGGCTGAGTGTGCTCATCTGAGAAAGAGCTGGTGCAGGGACCCCCCTGTTCAAATGCCATTAGAGCTAACTTCCAAACGTAAATGCAATGAGTTTGCTAATTTTTTCAATGACAAGGTTCAAGGCATCAAAAACGCCATTGTCTCCAATCCACAGATAACCATCCAACAGCCAGAAAGGCTCTCTGAGCTAACTTACTTTGCACCTGTAAATTATCAAACTGTCCAAGAGATAATCTCCAGTCTGAGCTCCTCCACATGCAGCCTGGATGTACTACCCACTAGATTTCTGAAGTCTGTTCTGAGCAGTCTGTTACCTTCACTCACACAGATAGTAAACATGTCCCTTCATTCTGGAATATTCCCAAAGACCCTGAAAACTGCATCAGTTCATCAGGCCCCTGCTAAAAAAGAGCAGTCTGGATGCTACGGTACTGAACAACTATCGTCCCATCTCAAATCTGCCATTTATGCACTGAGACTGCTCTTGTTAAGGTTACAAACGATATCCGGCTGGACACTGACGCAGGCAAAGTCTCAATCCTAATCCTGTTAGATCTAAGTGCTGCCTTTGACACCGTCGACCATGAGATCCTCTTACAGAGACTAGAGGACTGGGTTGGCGTCGCTGGCACCGCCCTAAGTTGGTTTAGGTCTTACCTTGAAGACAGGAAGTACTTTGTGGAGATTGGAAACTGTGTCTCAGATCATATGGCCCTGACCTGTGGAGTCCCACAGGGGTCGATCCTGGGACCTCTTCTGTTCAATCTCTACATGCTGCCGTTAGGTCAGTTAATACGCAGAAACGAAGTTTCCTATCATAACTATGCAGACGACACTCAGATCTATGTCTCACTGACTGCAGGAGAACATGGACCAGTGGACTCACTCCTTCACTGTATCCAACAGATCAGTGAGTGGATGCAAAACAACTTCCTTCAGCTAAACGCAGACAAAACTGAAATGATTGTCTTTGGTCCCCAGAAACAAAGAGAGAGCGTCATCTGTCACCTACAGTCTCTCTCCCTAAAACCTTCAAACAAGGTCAGAAATCTAGGGGTAATACTGGACTCAGACTTAAATTTTAATAGCCACATCAAATCAGTAACATCAGCAGCTTTTTACCATCTAAAAAACATTGCCAGGACCAGGAAGTACGACCATATTAGTCCTGACTAGAACCAGGAAGTACGACCACATTAGTCCTGACTAGAACCAGGAAGTACGACCACATTAGTCCTGACTAGAACCAGGAAGTACGACCACATTAGTCCAGACTAGAACCAGGAAGTACGACCACATTAGTCCAGTCCTCAGGTCTCTGCACTGGCTTCCTGTGGCTCAGAGAATAGACTTTAAAACAGCTCTGCTTGTTACAAGTCTCTCCATGGCCTCGCACCAAAATATATTAGTGACATGTTAGTCCCATATGAACCAGCCCGGACTCTGAGGAGCACAGGGACTGGACTCCTGCTGGGACTCTGAGGAGCACAGGGACTGGACTCCTGCTGGGACTCTGAGGAGCACAGGGACTGGACTCCTGCTGGGACTCTGAGGAGCACAGGGACTGGCCTCCTGCTGGGACTCTGAGGAGCACAGGGACTGGACTCCTGCTGGGACTCTGAGGAGCACAGGGACTGGCCTCCTGCTGGGACTCTGAGGAGCACAGGGACTGGACTCCTGCTGGGACTCTGAGGAGCACAGGGACTAGACTTCTGCTGGGACTCTGAGGAGCACAGGGACTAGACTTCTGCAGTCAGTTTAGTTCTGAGTTAGAACTAAACATGGGGAGGCTGCTTTTCAGATTCATGCTGAGTGGATAGCACTCTCGCCTCTCAGCAAGAAGGTCCTGGGTTCGAATCCCGGTCGGAACAGGGCCTTTCTGAGTGGAGTTTGCATGTTCTCTCCGTGTCTGTGTAGGTTTCCTCTGGGTACTCCGGCTTCCCCTACCACTAAAAACATGTGCAATAGTTCAGGGTGAATGAGTGTGAGTGCGACTTTGGGACAACGGATGGAAATTAGTTCATGACTACAATCCTGTGGTGTCTGTTGGACCTGCCCTGTCTGTCTGCAGGAGATCCTGTGGTGTCTGTTGGACCTGCCCTGTCTGTCTGCAGGAGATCCTGTGGGGTCTGTTGGACCTGCCCTGTCTGTCTGCTGCAGGAGATCCTGTGGGGTCTGTTGGACCTGCCCTGTCTGTCTGTCTGCAGGAGATCCTGTGGTGTCTGTTGGACCTGCCCTGTCTGTCTGTCTGCAGGAGATCCTGTGGTGTCTGTTGGACCTGCCCTGTCTGTCTGCTGCAGGAGATCCTGTGGGGTCTGTTGGACCTGCCCTGTCTGTCTGTCTGCAGGAGATCCTGTGGTGTCTGTTGGACCTGCCCTGTCTGTCTGTCTGCAGGAGATCCTGTGGGGTCTGTTGGACCTGCCCTGTCTGTCTGTCTGTCTGCAGGAGATCCTGTGGTGTCTGTTGGACCTGCCCTGTCTGTCTGTCTGCAGGAGATCCTGTGGGGTCTGTTGGACCTGCCCTGTCTGTCTGTCTGCTGCAGGAGATCCTGTGGTGTCTGTTGGACCTGCCCTGTCTGTCTGTCTGCTGCAGGAGATCCTGTGGTGTCTGTTGGACCTGCCCTGTCTGTCTGTCTGCTGCAGGAGATCCTGTGGTGTCTGTTGGACCTGCCCTGTCTGTCTGTCTGTCTGCAGGAGATCCTGTGGGGTCTGTTGGACCTGCCCTGTCTGTCTGCTGCAGGAGATCCTGTGGGGTCTGTTGGACCTGCCCTGTCTGTCTGCTGCAGGAGATCCTGTGGTGTCTGTTGGACCTGCCCTGTCTGTCTGCTGCAGGAGATCCTGTGGGGTCTGTTGGACCTGCCCTGTCTGTCTGCAGGAGATCCTGTGGGGTCTGTTGGACCTGCCCTGTCTGTCTGTCTGCAGGAGATCCTGTGGTGTCTTTTGGACCTGCCCTGTCTGTCTGTCTGCAGGAGATCCTGTGGTGTCTGTTCTGAGCACTTCAGGACTCGTTTGAACACATTAACTCAGTGGCAGTGTCTTTGGGACACAAGACAAAGGCTACATTAAAACCTGATGCCGTCCCAACTGTCTTTAAACGAAAGGAGCAGAGCGAGGCTTCTCCAACTGCTGCAAGGACAGACACTGTGACCCACCACAGGGTAAATCCTGCTTTATATTGTTCAACTTATTGATCATTTATTTTAGTCAAAAAACGAACTCATAGGCTTATTTTAAGTAGCCACAAACACACAATAAACAATAGCTAAGCCCATTTACTGTAGCGTGTTATACACTACAAGTAACTAGCTAATTAGCTTGAATCTCACAAATAAGGCTAAAAGGTTAAAAGAGTTGCACACAATTATGCACAAAACTGATAAATGTTTCTGCCTTGTTCAGATGACTGAAACCCCCGATTATTCCCCAGATCCATCATCAATTCACTCGCTGCTGTCTAAGATCATTCTCCTACGTCATACGCTGCATTGGGGCGCCCCCTAGCGTTTCTATGCGGAAGTGAAAAAGTGCGACTTCAAAGCCGGTTTTTTTAACATAATTCATCTGAACATGTCAAACTGAACACCTGAAATATTACAAACACATATTGTAGTTATATTCTGGATATTAAGCAGCATATTAAATTCTAGCACTACTTTAACAGGAGAGTTAAAGACCTTATGACGGGTTTTAAAAAAAAAAATAGTGGATATCAAAATTGCATGACAATGTCAATTTGAAAGAGATTCCGGCAAAAAACATCCTATATTTTATAAAAAGAAGGTGTTTTTCATGAATTTAAGCTGTCTATGCTCTAACCTGTGTGTGACGTCACAGCGGGTAACGCCCATGCATTGAAAACCATGGATCTATGCCACAGGACTGCCTTTTCTCTCTTCTCTCCACTGATGCCCAACACAATACTGCCCTCTACAGGTGACAATTGCTCACTACACATAAATTGCCATTTTGAGTGTGAAAAAGTGTCCGAGGTGGGATTTGAACCCAAGTATCTGGATCGACACAACCACTGGACTATCTCAGTGACAACGAAATGATACATTCTAGTAGTAATTTAATACTCGCTGTACACGGCCTTGTCATCTTGAATATCCGCGAAAAAAGAACGAATACCAAATTGTAAACAACTTACAGCGTTGAAACGTACCCGCTCTGACGTCACCAAGGGCTGTGAAGTTTTTTCGTCTCTAAGGGCGTTGCTATGGGGTTATTTCGATTTGGGGGGATCAGACAAAAAAAACAACAACTGATTTTGAAACCTTTAGTAGTTCTCTTCTAATATAAAATGGTATTAAAACTGTATTTCTAAATAAATCAAACCCGTCATAAGGTCTTTAACAGAGCTGCTTCCAGGTGACAAGCTCCTCTTTACCTGCTTTTAGCACTTTCTGATTATGCTGCCAGTCGCCCTCATTTCTCAGACTCAGGATGTGTCTTTCCTTGGAGCAATCTGTAAAACTAAAAGCCTGAGCCACATCCGTTTCATCCATGTGCTTCATCTCTAAATGACGGGCTATTTTTAGATTAGACTTTTGACAGTAAACACAGTAATGAGATTTGTATTTACAGTCAAACCACTTGTCCCAGAGTTGATTTTGAGGCGGTGGTAGTTTTTGGTGCGTCTTGTCTTTGGTCTGGACTCACTTGTGTCAGAAAAGACTGAAACGTTGCTGGATAATGAAGAGGAGCTCGGGCTTCCAGGAGGAGGAAGGACTCATCATCATCATCATCACTGGAGCAGGCGTCTGAAGATGGGCTACTCATCTGCAACATGCAAGATTTAGAATTAGAATTAATCTGAATTTTGTTCAATACATATCAACAGATTTGAATTTTATGATAAATTTAAAATAATGTTTTTGTGGAATTGCTTCAAGAGCTCGTGAATCCACAACACTCAGCAATAATCTTTATTTAAAGCACATTTCACAGACAGGGCTTCACACAACTTTATTTACTCATACAATTTTCAATAAAAAACTGAACCTGAACCAAACCTGGACCGAACCTGGACTGAACCTGGACTGAACCAGGACTGAACCTAAGGGACTTTGAGCATGTGCTGGTACAGCTTGTGTTGTTGTCTGCAGCGCTTCAGTTTCTGAGGGATCCTTCGCTTCTTCATCCACTGGTTCTCGTAGAGCACAGAAACAATAGTTAGTTTTTATCTAAAATGAATCAACGCGTGAATAAGAATTACCATCTGTCTGTTTCCCCGGTGCCACTGCCAGCTTTTATAACCTCAAACTCGTGAGCTCTGTCTCCATTGTCTCTGAGGTCCAACTGAAGTTTACACTCTTTGGATTCTACTGGTAATGTCAGCTGCAGAAAACAAAACAAATGTATCAGAGTAATTTCCTCTACCACGGATCAATAAAAATGTGTTTTTTAATTCATTAATTAATTTGTTTTTAAATTCCATCGAGTTTTGCTGCTTAGCTCCCAGTTGCATAGTACCCATTGGTTATGGTGGCATTTAGATGATGGATGAAAACATAAGTTGTAATAAAACCATATGTGTATGAAACGTGCATAAATCAATGTTTAAAAAATGATTACAAATGAAATAATGTAAACGTACAAACACACTGTGGGTTCTCTCCAAAGGCGGAGCGTCTGTATCAGTGGTATTTCCAGAGTTTGTCGACATCTATGGAAGAACAACATTGTTAAAGCATAAAATACAAAAACATATTTATTACTTATTTTGACTGAAAGTCACACAAATATATATGACAGTCCTGGACTCAGCCCCAGACCTGGACCCAGTCCTGGACTCAGACCTACTCAGATCTAGACCCAGACCTGGACTCAGACCTGGACTCAGACCTGGCCTCTGAGGTGATCAGTGGTGATCGTTTGAATGTAGAAAAAACTTTGATTAATGTAAATAAAGTCATGTTAATGATGTGCTTTCAGTTGACATCATTCATATTTTGTCTCTAGAAATGTATAAATGTCAGTTTTATTGTGTATTTATAAATCTGTATTTTTACACATTTCATATTTTGAACTTCCATAATTTTAAAAATAGTATCATACTTCGTTTACAGGAGAGGACGATGCAAAAACCTCATGGACTGCAGTTCCCACACTGACCTCTATAAGGCACTATTGAGTTTTAACCTGCAGTTCCAGATTCAGCCATGAGTGGCCGCCACAGAGCAAAATTACGTTTTACTTGCAGTACCAGCTTTGACCAGCGTGGCCACTCAAGAGTAGATGTGTGTGAAATAAACAAAACAATGTAAAAGGTGAAATTCTTGTTTTTCTATCATTTTGAGGACTTTCTGAGGGAAGCTTTAGGGAACCATCAGGGACACTACTGAAGCGTTTTGATTGATGCCCAAATGTCCTCACTTTGCTGGTCTAGAAACTCACTGTGTCCTCACTTTGTGGACTTTACAACACACACACACTCACACACCGTTCTCTGTAATTCTCTGTGATGTGTGTCTTTAATAAAAGCAGAGCCTGTGATTCTCTTAAATAAAAATCACTGAAGAGAATCCACAGCTTTTCTCTCGGGAAACACAGAAACACACGATTAACAACGATCCAAACATTAAAACAGTATTTCTCTATTTTCCATGTTGTGTTTGTTCCTGGGAGCGTTGGTTTGATCGGATTTTGAGGCAGAGCAAAAGTTTATATGTATAATACAATTCAATTAATGTATTTTTGTATAGCCCTAAATCACAAGGACTTTCCACAGTTGTTGATTCACCAACACAGATCAGAGAATCAAACCGTTCAACAATAACAAACTCACGGAGACATCGGTCCATGAGGAGCAGAGACCGGTGTAAAGGATGTTGGAGGTGGAGCGTTTGGATCGTCTGTGTTTAGAGCCTCCTGCAGCAGAACAGCTCTAAAAACCAGGTTAGAGTAAAGTTAGAGACCTCAGGGAGACCCCACAGACTAAGTAGCAGTGGACGTGCTCACGACTATCTCCGCGGCAGAAACTAATGTGACATCACTTTTGGCTTCTATGGAGCTATTTTCAAAATGGCCGCAGGCAGCCCCTCCCTCAGGAAAATGTTAAATTCATTCAAATGTTAACAGCGACAGAACTAGACTGGTCCACTTTTAGGCCAAGAGCCACTTTTAGGCCAAGAGCCACTTTTGGGTCAAGAGCCACTTTTGGGCCAAGAGCCACTTTTGGACCAAGAGCCACTTTTGGACCAAGAACCACTTTTGGACCAAGAACCACCTTTGGACCAAGAACCACTTTTGGGCCAAGAGCCACTTTTGGACCAAGAACCACCTTTGGACCAAGAGCCACTTTTGGACCAAGAACCACCTTTGGACCAAGAACCACTTTTGGACCAAGAACCACCTTTGGACCAAGAACCACTTTTGGGCCAAGAGCCACTTTTGGACCAAGAGCCACTTTTGGACCAAGAGCCACCTTTGGGCCAAGAGCCACTTTTGGACAAAGGGCCACTTTTGGACCAAGAACCACTTTTGGACCAAGAGCCACTTTTGGACCAAGAACCACTTTTGGACCAAGAACCACCTTTGGACCAAGAGCCACTTTTGGGCCATGAGTCACTTTTGGACCAAGAACCACCTTTGGACCAAGAGCCACTTTTGGGCCAAGAGCCACTTTTGGACCAAGAGCCACTTTTGGACCAAGAGCCACTTTTGGACCAAGAACCACTTTTGGACCAAGAACCACTTTTGGACCAAGAGCCACTTTTGGGCCAAGAGCCACTTTTGGACCAAGAGCCACTTTTGGACCAAGAGCCACTTTTGGACCAAGAACCACTTTTGGATCAAGAGCCACTTTTGGACCAAGAACCACTTTTGGACCAAGGACCACTTTTGGACCAAGAGCCACATTTGGACCAAGAACCACTTTTGGATCAAGAGCCACTTTTGGGCCAAGAGCCACTTTTGGACCAAGAGCCACTTTTGGACCAAGAGCCACTTTTGGACCAAGAGCCACTTTTGGACCAAGAACCACCTTTGGACCAAGAGCCACTTTTGGACCAAGAACCACTTTTGGACCAAGAACCACTTTTGGACCAAGAACCACCTTTGGATCAAGAGCCACTTTTGGGCCAAGAGCCACTTTTGGACCAAGAGCCACTTTTGGACCAAGAACCACTTTTGGACCAAGAGCCACTTTTGGACCAAGAGCCACTTTTGGACCAAGAGCCACTTTTGGACCAAGGACCACTTTTGGACCAAGGACCACTTTTGGACCAAGAACCACTTTTGGAAAAAGAGCCACTTTTGGGCCAAGAGCCACTTTTGGGCCAAGAGCCACTTTTGGACGAAGAGCCACTTTTGGGCCAAGAGCCACTTTTGGGCCAAGAGCCACTTTTGGACCAAGAGCCACTTTTGGACCGTCCTGTAAAGATGTTTTCGAGAGGAAAGAAGACGCCGTACAAAAGCATTGGGTAATTCTTATTCCGGGTACACCCCCACATTGCAGAAGGTCAGGTTCTTCTGATAATTTGTTCATGAAGTTGATTTGATGCAGAGGTGTATTTTATATTCCACATTTACAACATAAAGACAGTCTCAGATATTCATATGTTCAATCTGAGACCTGTCTCATTTCCCTTTAAATGAGTTTGTCTTTGTTCTTTTTATTGACAGTAAAGTCTGAGCGAGGTCTTCTCTGGTTAAAGTCTGGTTTTCACAGCCATATATATGTGTGCTTGTATATAATAATAATAATCTTTATTTGTATAGAACTTTTAAAAACAATGTTTACAAAGCGCTGCACAGTCAGCATGATAAACAATAAAAACAGTCATAATACAAGGTCAAAATAATTAGATACAGAAACACAAACAGAGCAAAACACAAAAGAGACACAACAAAGACAAAGCAGACATTAAAATACAGCATGTGTTTAAAACTAACAGTTAAAAGCTGTTTGATAAAAGTGGGTTTTAAGAAGAGATTTAAAAGAGGATACTGATCCTCGAGCCTTATCTCCTCGGGTGGTTCCAAAGCCGAGGAGCCCGGACAGAGAAGGCTCGGTCCTTTCGTCCGGAGCCTCGACCTCGGAACAGCCACAGGGACCTGCCCGAGGATCTAAGGCTGCGGGGGAAGGGCTCGTAGGGGGTTAACAGTTCAGAAATATAGCTTTTGTGTGTTTATGTGTCTTATATCTTTTTTTTTTTTTTATATATAGATACACACACATATATAAATCACACATATGTATATAAGACACATTACAGCATATAACATTAATGTAACTTCACTCAGGAGTGGATTCAAGGATTTATCACGGAACAGTTATATTCATTCATTTTCAGCAAAGTAAGAATATTATAAAGAACAAGATGAATGTTTAAGAGCAATACACAAAGGAAACCAGGCAACGTTCCACGACCCTGAAGGGAAAATAAACAATATGAATATAAATCTCACAGATACCAGGTGTGATCTCCAACCAGCTGCATTTGGAACGTCCCCTGGTTCCTGTGCTAAAGAAACCCTGGAGGTTCATGGTCCGGCTGCTTCATTATCACAGCGACACCGCCATCTGCTGGACAACAGTGTTCAGTGCATGACCACACACTGCTCTAGGTCACTGCTCTGGTCTCTCTCTCTGGTCTCTCTCTGGTCTCTCTCTCTGGTCTCTCTCTGGTCTCTCTCTAGTCTCTCTCTGGTCTCTCTCTCTGGTCTCTCTCTGGTCTCTCTCTCTGGTCTCTCTCTGGTCTCTCTCTGGTCTCTCTCTCTGGTCTCTCTCTGGTCTCTCTCTGGTCTCTCTCTCTGGTCTCTCTCTCTGGTCTCTCTCTGGTCTCTCTCTGGTCTCTCTGGTCTCTCTCTCTGGTCTCTCTCTGGTCTCTCTCTGGTCTCTCTCTCTGGTCTCTCTCTGCTCTCTCTGGTCTCTCTCTCTGCTTCTCTCTCTCTGGTCTCTCTCTGGTCTCTCTCTCTGCTCTCTCTCTGGTCTCTCTCTGGTCTCTCTCTGGTCTCTCTGGTCTCTTGGTTCATCTCTCTCGGTCTGGTCTCTCTCTCTGGTCTCTCTCTGGTCTCTCTCTCTGGTCTCTCTCTGGTCTCTCTCTGGTCTCTCTCTCTGGTCTCTCTTGGTCTCTCTCTGGTCTCTCTCTCTGGTCTCTCTCTGGGGCTCTCTCTCTGGTCTCTCTCTGGTCCTCTCTCTCTGGTCTCTCTATCGCTGGTGTCTTCGTAGAACTTTCCCGCGCTCATGTTGTCATCTTGCTCTCACTCTCATGTACTCCTGCGTCATGCTCTCTAGATCCGGCGCTGTCTACTTCCACTGTCTAACCAATCCCTTGTGGTCCTTGAATTACGCGTGTTACCTCTGCGTCTCATGTCTCTCTACGATCGCGATGTGTTCACAGAATTTTAGAGTCTCTGCCATCACGTATATCCTGTGCTATCTCTGTCACTCATACTCGTCGTGCTCTTCACCATAAGTTGTCTCTGTCCGCGTCCTCTCTATCCTGACGCCGAAGTAGACTGTGAGAACTCTGTGAAGGTCTCTTCTGGTCCTTGACCCCCTTCTTAACCGCGACAGTCTATCATTGATCTGCCGACCCCGACCGTCGCAATCAGTCCCTGAAACTCTCGTCACCATGACACCGATGCAAATGTCTATTCATGAAGCCCACATAGGAGCTGCATCTGTCATGTGTCTAGAGCGCGATATCTGTGTTATGCTCTCGCACACACGAGTAAGTAATGTTTTCCGGTCTTTCACTCTCCTAGGGTGCCTCGCCTATCACTATGAGTTCCTGTCCCTTAGCTTGTGTACTCCCCTATCGTGTACTGACTTTGGTGTGGAGTTCTCAAACTCTAGTTTAGCGCCTGTTGTGTTGTTCTCAGTTCGTTCTCTATTTGTGCTTATGTCTGCGATCCCTATATCGCCGCTTTCCCTCCCTTCATTTGGTCACATGTAATTCAATTCACACTATCGGTCTCCTTTCATTCCAACCCCTCCCCCTATTCGCAAGAGTTCTATCTCTCCTGTTTTGGTCTACCCGCTCGATCGGTGCGTCTCGTGTCCCTGAGTCAGTACCTAGAGGCTCTATGTCTGTCTCGACCGCTACTGTCCATACACTCTATCTTACCTCACTCGGTCCACTTTATTTTCCAGTCGGCTCCATTCATCCCTTCTTGGGATTCGTGTCTCGTGTCATACCTGGTGTCCCCGCCTCCCTCCCTCACCTGGGACTCATCCTGTTCCCAGCCTTGAGATTCTCCTGTCTATGTCTAGTTGTCCCTCCTGCTGCCCTGAAGCGTATGACTTTCCCTGATCTCTCCCTCTACAGAGTGCATTGCGATTGCACTGCGCCGCTTCCGTGTGTCACTCTACTGTTTGAAAGTTGTGAAGTGGTGCGCCCGAGGTACCGTCACTTAGCACACCGCTGTGTACACCCGAGCTTTCTTGTCTTCCCCCATATTTTCCACCTTCCGAATATTCTAACGCATAAGTACTATGGTCAAGATCTATCGCACATACATACAAATGGCACAATACTTATCTGATCACTCATCAAGCGTGAGCTAGCAGAGACACTTCGATCTGTCTCAGCAGAATCCCTATTATATACCGATCCTTCTTGATCAAATTTTTTGTCTGTCGGCTTGTGAAATACCAATAATCGACACATATAGCTACTATTAACTGTCACTGTGTGTCGCTTCTTTAACCTCTCCCATCGCCCGATAAGTCATCTAAGCGCTTCCATACATACGAACTACCTCCCCTAACCTTCTCTACGTCGCTGCCTAAGATCATCTAACTATGACTCACAACGCTATGTGTCTCCTGTCTTTAGCTGTTCTGTAATGGATACTGACTCAGATAACCACTTGGTACATTGTATCCAAGTTCCGATTATTTTTTCCGGCCTAACTCACCTCACACCCTCTGAACTTCTGAGTTATGTGTGTCCCTCATATCACTTCCTCGTGAGATAAACAAGAGGAAGCCCTCTACGTCTTAGTGTGAGCTTGCCGTATGCCTCATGGAATAGTTCGCCTCAATCTCTTAATATTTCATCCCATTATTCCCGCACTTATGTCCACTGCTGTCCGCGAGGCCTTCCTAGCGCTCTCTCTAGTTGATAGTTGTCTCACACTCATACAACAACTTCATATCCACAACCCTATCAGATCTACCCTCCGCTGCTAGTTCTATGACCCCCTCCTGGACCAGCTAACATACCTCCCGTGTTCGTATTACCCTCCCACTGCTACTATCTGCCTTGTCTCCCACATATGACAATGATCCCATTGAGGTTTATGTTTGCTTACTGAGTATGTTTGGTCGCTTTCAGTGTCCATCTCTTTGCTTTATATACTCTGTTCCTATACTCTGATAATCGCTCAGTGCGGTGAACCTATCAATGGCGCACCTATACTACTCCTCCCCCGCTCTGTTTTGTGATCTCCAACTCTCATCGCCTCTTGCGCTCAGCTCATCTCACTGCACGTCTCCGCTGTCAGGGTCCTCGCTCCCCCGCTTCCTCGTCCGGCCGCTCGTCACACCTGCCTTATGCCTGCCCCTCCCCTCTTCTAACAGGTGGGGGGGCTCTCGTCATCCGCTCCCCGCATCCTCCGCCTCCCCACCCCCTGCCTCCACACCTGACGCTATGACTCCGTATGGCGCGTCTGTCGCGCCTGTCCCTTAGCCAACAACCCCCTCGGTGCCCCCTTTTAGTGTGTGACTGTGCCCTGTGTACTTTATGAGGTGACCCTGCGTCAGTTGTCCCTAGACTAGCGCAGCTCCACCCTCCTGCAGTGCCCTGTGCCGAGCTATCTCGTGAGCTGCTACCTGCGTAGATCTGTGTCGTAGATTCTGCTGACTCCCCCTGCGAGTATGATCTTTCGTTTTGGTGGCGTGTTGCAGACGTTGCTAGTAAATAGTTAGCGTGTCGTGTACCTATTGCTTGCCCTTAGTGTCCTGATACTAAGCCTCTTCAGTAGGTGTTTCTAGTGATGTTCTTTCGTCGCCTCCGATCGGAGTTCCTCCCTCGTCTCGTGTGGTCGTTCGTAGCTGGTCGTTTTGTTCCGTCAGAACGAGACGCATTCCGAATAACCTCCACGCTTTTGTCCCCCATCCGTCTGCCACCATGTAGGATTTGTCCAAATGTACCAGAGTGAAGAGTCCTAGAGAATGTTCTAGGGCGAACAAAAAATGATGTGGCACCTGTGATTGAATTCCGCGCACATTCTCCGAGAGGGGCACTCGCTGGTGTGTATGCAGAGAACATAACCGTAGTGTGACGATATATAGATGCCTCTCGCACCCCGCGCTAGGGAAGCCTAGTGAGTATAATGCAATGTTCACGAGAGAGGTCTAGCGACTCTGTACTGATATCAGCCTAGTTGAAGTGAGTCGGTCGTTCTTGGTATCGTAGGCTACACAAACCTGTGTCCTTGTGTCCCTGATGATGCTGTAGGGTCTGTGTTGTTAGCATGTCCCTGATGATGCTGTAGGGTCTGTGTTGTTAGGCATGTCCCTGATGATGCTGTAGGGTCTGTGTTGTTAGCGTGTCCCTGATGATCTGCTGTAGGGTCTGTGACCGCGTTGTTAGCATGTCCCTGATGATGCTGTAGGGTCTGTGTTGTTAGCGTGTCCCTGATGATGCTGTAGGGTCTGTGTTGTTAGCGTGTCCCTGATGTCCCTGATGATGCTGTAGGGTCTGTGTTGTTAGCATGTCCCTGATGATGCTGTAGGGTCTGTGTTGTTAGCGTGTCCCTGATGATGCTGTAGGGTCTGTGTTGTTAGCGATGTCCCTGATGATGCTGTAGGGTCTGTGTTGTTAGCATGTCCCTGATGATGCTGTAGGGTCTGTGTTGTTAGCGTGTCCCTGATGATGCTGTAGGGTCTGTGTGTTAGCGTGTCCCTGATGATGCTGTAGGGTCTGTGTTGTTAGCATGTCCCTGATGATGCTGTAGGGTCTGTGTTGTTAGCATGTCCCTGATGATGCTGTAGGGTCTGTGTTGTTAGCATGTCTGTGTTGTTAGCATGTAGCGTGTCTGGCATAACTCAAGTGCTCTTATTTCAGGTGACTTTATCTCTTATTGTATTACTTTAATATTAGCTCTGGGCAATCTTTTAGTTATGCTTTTATGTTTTTTTCCGGTGCATGAGGATAGCATTTCATAAAGTAATAACATTATTAGTGGATAAAATAAGTCCTGTAGTCCCACACAGAGAAAAGAATATATAAAAAACATTAAAAAACCATACATACAAAGAACAGACATTTTTAGCACTAAATCAGAGACTGTGCTCCTGGGGCAGGTCAAAGATGTGAGTGATTGACAGTAGGGGCGGGAACCTAAGGGCCCCTCACGATACGATACACGATACAAAGCTCATAATAACCATTTTATCACGATATGACGATTATCGATATATTGGTCAGAAATATACAATATGCCAATTTATAGCATACATTACAAAAAAAACGTTTTATTTAATGATAAATGGATTGGAGATGCGTAATGTAGCCATATATTAAGTAGGGTTGGGGTTAGGAATTTCCCATTGACTTTGCCTTGAAATCGCTCACTTCCCGATTTTCATCTCTTAAACAGAAATCTGGAAGTTGAACTTCCAGATTCTACTTCCAACTTTTGATGTCCACCAGGGGCAGTATACCCTTGATTTTTGCAAGTTGGAAGTACATTCCGGAAGTGAAATCTGGAAGTATAAGGGAGCTTCCACCTTTATATCTTAGTCAATACTACCGCTAAAGATGCTAACAATGCTAATGTCCCCGCTAATGCTACTATTACTACTACTACTACTATTACTGCTACTGATGCTACTACTACTACTATTGGTCTACCGGTGATGCTAATGCTAATGGTGATGCCAATGCTAATGCTAACGTTAATTGTTGTTAAAGCTAATGTTAATGGTGATGTCAATGGTGATGCCAATGGTGATGCTAATGCTAAGGCTAATGCTAACTTAATGGGTTTTTGGGTCTCCTGCCAACCCAAACCAGTGGTAGGAGTGGCACTGCTCTACCACTACTACTTTTTTCACAACACTTTAGAGAGACGTGTAACCCTGGTGGAAAAACCTGAATATTATTAATATATGCATACTTATATTGAAAACAATTATTTATGTGTGTATTTTATTAATATTATCCCTGCTGCCCCGCTGTTTATTTTTTATTAAATTGCTGTATTTGCGATGCAATCGTCACGTGACCTCCGCAGCCAATGGTAGCGCGAGTAGAACGATTAGGTCCACATGGGTCCACCTGTGTGCAGCCCTCTCACTCAGACGTGTGTGGGGAGGCTGGATGACTGCTGTGGACAGGTTCGTATTGGAAAATATTTGCGGGTTATCATTGTGCCTTGCTATAAGTTAAGTGTTGAAATACCACTTTTAGAGCTGACTACTGGGCCGTGGAGAGTCTTGTGCCGCCATCGCGCTGGGCATACGCTGGGAATTGGTGAGTTGGATGCGTGTTGTTGTGAAATGTGCTAAGCTAGCAGCATAACCCATTGCGTTAGCATTAGCGAGTTAGCTCTGTGTATGTTGTCATGCTGGCAATGTATATTACATGTACCCATTTTATGATTTTTATATGATGTGATTTAAGATGTAAAACAATAGTTAAGTGTACTTAGTTGTGATTTAGAACTATAGTTAACTGTTGTTGATGCATTGGTGTATACTGTGTGCACATGAATTTAATATGAACTAATTAGTGGATAGTTTCCTGGTACTTACTGGTCCTGTTTATTAATACAGGCCAGGTGGACTATACTGGGTGACGTGATGGCGAGCTGAGACGATCTTGGAGCAACCCTGGTCCGGTAGGTCCCCCACCACTCTCACTACTGACACATGCCCACATATTAGCATACTTTGTGGGGTGTCATTGGCAACTGCTGGATTATATTTTTGTTTTCTTATTCCATGGACTACGGTTGTTGAACCACAACGAACTTTATAACAACTTGGTGCACTCTAATCAAAATACTGCAGTAATCTTGTAAATGGTCTTCTATATATTTTTCCCCCTTTGTAAACATGTAAATTTCTTCTTTCACAATATATGGTACCATAACCACACCGTTACTGTTGGTTGTGTTTTACTTACTCACCCCAGCTCCAGTAGGCAAACCTAAGATCTTCTGTGTGAGCCCAACCCTTACTCTTTACGTCATACAAAGTAAAGCTATTACATTAATAAAGGAAATAGTCCATATTACAGACGCCACTCACACAGCGGTGTCTCTGACACCAGCTGGACACGCTCAATGAAGGGCAAGTTCTTATTCCCAAGTTTTGCGCAAAGTTAGAGCTAGAGCTCTACAATTTGGACAGGTCATAGCCTGTGTTGCTGGGATAGCGGGAAAAATAGGGGCCAGTTCCAATTCCCACACTTTTGCGCAAAGTTGCTGCTAGAGCTCTACAATTTGGACAGGTCATACCTGTGTCGGTGCGCTACCTGGGAAAATACTAATAACTTTATCTTTTTAAACGGCCCTACAATTGGTGAATGAATTTTGAATTTTGGCTGACCTTGCTGCAGCTCATATATGTGACTCGTCACACGAAGGGCTTTCCAACGATACCTCTATCATCGCTCTACGACCTCGTTTGGCCGAGTTATAACACTTAACGAGGGGAGCGGTTTCAAACGGTTGTCGCCCCCTAGCTCCGCGGTGGAACATGGCAGGGACAAAAGCCGTACACCGTTGCGTTCGGCTGGCCGAGCCGTTTCCGCAGACGTCTGATTTGTGCCTGTGCGACCTTCGGAACAGGTTTTGGCCTTAGATCACCTAGCTTTTCAGGGTAGGGTAAGGGTATACGGTCCTGAGACCGTCTTGAGCTTCTGGTCCAAAAACGGTCACTTGGACTTCCGAAGGGGTTAGACGCCTGAATTTTGGATATGTGGTAGAGGGCCACGAGACGAGTCCAACAGTGTAGGGTAGACCTCCGGAGGCCTTACGGTTCTCGGTGGGCGGGCCTTAGATCGGTAAAAAATCTCACGCTAATTAAGCTCGTCACGGCTTCAAATTTAATGGAAACGAGCCCAAATTCGGCACACGCCCATTTCAACACAGTCCGACCGAGAATCTAAAGTTTCAACCCGCTCGGACACTCGGTTGGCTACTTTGCTTCCTATTGGTCGGTTTGAGTGGGCGCCTAGATATTTGAGCTTAGAATAGTGTGCTGTGTAACTGAATAGTAATCGTAATTATCATGTACTAATTTAAACGTTAATCTCAAAACATGATGTACTAATGTAAATATTAATCTCAATATGTTTCGGACCCTGGGAGGATAGATCGAGCGGACCCACATAGACCAGCGCTTTTCTACGCTGAGCCAGGTGCTTATCCCATTGGTTTGAGGCCTAGTTAGGCCTAGGTAGGCCTCAAACACGCATAAGATTTGTAAAATATCCTTTAATATAACAGCTTTGAGGGACTCAAAATGATTTAAAAAAAAAATGCTTCTGGCGGGATTCGATCCCACACCGCAACCACTCGACCACCGGTAACGTGTGATGAACGAATTGTATAATTTGGGCCCGGTTACCGCGGATAAGGCCTGAACAGCCAAAACTTCAGAATCCTACGCAAAAATCGGGATATAAGTCAAGTTCATGTTGAATTTATTCATAGATTCATTTTATAATATAATTCGAATTTATTAAAATCATTTTTGTACAGGTAACGCCCCTTTCTGCTCAGTTATTCAGCGGAGTTGAAAGAGGCGTTTTTAGGCCTTTTCGCGGTTCAAGATGGAGGTGAGTGGTCACATGCGTTTATTACACCGTATTAGTTGTGTAACAATCAAAATATATTTGTAAACATTCATAAATACAATGCTGAGTGGATATCGGGGCTGTGCACACGCAGAACACACGGCGGCTGTCCCTGTTCGAGCTCCGTAACGTTTGCAGGAGGCCTTGCAGGTGCTACACGGACACGGAGATGCTCCTCGGATGCTAGCACCTTCAAGGCCTGGCGCACGGAGATTCACGTTTTTTGCTCACGGGGTGCAGCAACGTCATTATTTATAATAATAATAATTATTATCATTTTCTCTTTATTGTGTAACAGGATGGAAAACTGTGCGGCATTTGCTTCACGCAAGCAGTAAATATCAAGCAGCACCTGCTGCGAATTCACAAGGTGGCGAACTTGAAGGAGCTATACCTCCTCCAAAAATATGGTAGTGCACGGTGAGTTAACGCGCACACACACACACACACACACACACACAGTAATAGATCCATGAGCCCAGCGCGGAGCTGTGTAAGATAGAGACCAGGTGTTGATTTATTTTCATTCTCCTAGGACCACGGCTGTGCTTGACTGCCCGTGCTGTGAGGTCTTATTATGCCTGTCCCTCCGATGTAAATTGCTTTTATCAAATCCATATGTTTCAATATGTGTCCAAACAATATGTTTTGGTTCGTAGGAGCGTGCTGCCCTCTTGCGCGAGGCAAAGCGCGCAGCAATTGTGAAGGAGCTGAGGGACCTGAGGCTCTCAGACCCCTCAGTGCCCCTCGTCTCTGAACTGGACATTGGTAAGAACCAAAACAGTACTTTTAACTGTTGTTGGATATCTGGAAATATATAAATCATTTATAAATTGATAACACCTATGTTAATTCATGGATAATATTTGTAATGAAAAAACTTTTTTTATTTACATTATTGAATCAGATCAACCCAACGACATCCCGCTGTTGGAGTTGGATGAGGCTGGTGAGTGTTTATTGCTTTTGATAGTAGTAGTACCACTACTACTACTACTATTACTACTGAGTAATGGAAATTCATATATGCATATTGAATCAGATCCTGAGCCCCTGGTGGGAGGTGAGGGGATGGAGGAGGAGGAGGATCAGGCCATCGCCGGCCCTTCCCTCTCTGGTGAGTATTTATTGCTCTTGATAGTTACTACTCCTCATACTGTCCTCATAAGAAGACAGGTAAAGCTTTTCTTTTGTTGTGATTCAGGGCTATACAAGAATAAATTGTATTGTATTGTTTTGTACCACTGCTACTAGTGCTATTACTACTACTACTACTTCTACTGCTGCTGCTGCTACTACTATTACTACTACTACTACTACTACTATTCCTACTGAGTAACACCTAGAGTTTCGCTTTTCAGCCCGAGCCCGAGCAGGCCCGAGCCCGACCCGAGTACGGGCCGGGCTTGGGCCTCACTTCAGCGCTCAGCAGTCGGGCCGTTCCGGGCTCGGGCTCCTTTTATTTTTCCTTTTTTTATTTTTTTTAATCAATATTTTTTATTATTTATGATTTTCATACATAATGATATGCATATATGTATTTATTAATAATAATGTCCGTTGATTGACAACAAGTTATTAAAAAAGTTGATATATTTATCACCGTAACCGGCGTGTCCTACAGCCGCAGCAAGCCGTGAACGCATCATCCCTGTTTTTCCTGTTGAATGCTACGGTCAACAGCGAACACACGGAACATTAACAGAAATGGATCAGGTGGACGTACAAAACACATTCAGAAGTGGCTAAACTTGCAATTGGAAGGTGAGTGCGTACAACAAGGGAAATCAGATGTGTCGGGCTTCTGTTGGGCTCGGGCCTATTATACAACCTTAATTGGTCGGGCTTATACGGGCTCGGGCTTAGTATTAGCGGGCTCGGGCCGGGTCGGGCTTGATTTTTCAGGCCCGAACGAAACTCTAGTAACACCTAACAATGTTATTGCGTAGGGTTATTGAAATGTTGAATCATGGAGTACATTATTTTTAATAAAGGGACTTCATACCACATGGACCAGGAGAGGCCGGGTCCATCTGGGGTCAATTTCGAGGCCCGCATCCAGAGGCTGGAGGCCCGCCTCACCAGTCTGGAGCGCTCCCACGCCCTTCTATTAAAGAAGTGCCGGTCCCTCCAGGTTGCCCCGGCTCCTGTGGCCCCCACCTCTGCTCAGAAGGGGGAGCACGTGGACAAGCTGCAGAACGCCGACTTTCTGTATGGTAAGTTGTTACTAATAGTTCTGGACCATGGAGGGAAATATTCAAATATTGTCATCCTTTTTTCTAAAAGTCAATTTGATTTTATTGCAGAATCACTGGTGGAGGATTACAGACAGTTCCGGCTCGGGGCGCGGACCAGGCCAAAGGACCAGAACAATGCCAAGCAGTCAGCCACTCCCTGAGGTTTTGCAGGTACATGGCCCAGGGAGTGGCGGCTGACTGCCTGACCAGGAGCGTCAGGTTTTTGAACCGGCTGGACCACCTGCGTGGGTGGGTGAGTATTACTGCTAATTTACACATCACGCGTTACAGCACGTACGCGTTATACGCGCAGCAGACGCGCGTAACTTTTTTCCATGTTAACCTATGATGATATTTACACTTCTAGCGTTATACGCGCGTATGACGCGAAGCTGCGCTCTAATTTAGGATGGATTTCTAATTTTGTGCGCGCACCAACGCGTCTCCCATTGAAATCTCATGTAAAACATGATTTTTCTAGCGGTCCTTGGCTCTAGATCGCAGTATACGCACACACAGCACTTGTATCTAAACATCAGCAGGAGGAGCAGCAGGTTTTACAGTGATTCTGGACATTGTTTTTTTTCTTTCATAAAGTCTCGCGTCTGGCCAAACCAGCGCACAGAGACCATGGAGACAAACACATGCATGTGATTTGTGTTGCTCTACATCAGTCCTCTGGCCCGTACTGTCCTCTACACTGCTCCATAGACTACACAGGGAGAGCATCAGAAGACGCGGACCTGTGCGCACGGCCTGTGTAGATACTCCAAAAAAATGTTACGCGCAGAGAGCGCGCAGTAAACACGTACACGCTGTTTACGCCTACTGTGTAAATTCCCTGTTAGTCTGCTATCTTTGGATGAAAAATTAGGTAACTCTGCATCTTGTTTAATATCACTAAAATTGGTCCAAGAAAATTTGCCATTTAGTTAGGATTTTCTTGTGAAAGTGAATGGTGATAGATTTAAAAATTCTGGAAACCTGTCTGTTTTTTTTACAGATACCCGACGTACCTGGCCCAAAAGGGCTACAAGAGTACCACCATCAAAAACATGATGACCAACGTCATCATGTTTTTACGCCATGTGGGCAAGCGCTTCCCGCGCAAGACCTGCCTGAGGCCCGCTGAAGCCAAAAACATTGAATATGAGCTTCAGCGGATCCAGCGGGACATACAGCGGGAAGTGCTTGTCCACAGGCAGAAGATCCTTAGGAAGAAGTCAGGTAAGGCTTTTCCTGTCTTATATGGGTAACACCACTGCTACTAGTGCTACTACTACTACTACTACTACTACTAGTACTAAATTATTGACCAGTCCGAAATGGTGAAATGTCACAACAGGTCCAAATAGGGATGTGGTTTTCACTAGTGTTACGCCAGTTCCATTCTTTTCACAGCCGACCAGCTGGACGCCACGGACAGCGTACATTTTTTGGCAAGGGCCAAAACTGCGATTGGCGAAATTCTATGTAAGTAGAGTACATTTGTGATTTTCATTCCAAGAAGTTGTTGCTTCCCCTTAATACCTCGTGTTGTTGGGGTGTAGGCAGAGAGGATCCCGATGAGGTCCATGGCCTGGGGATGGGCTATATCTTGGCTTACCTGGCCATCGTCACAGGCCACCGGGCGGTGGTCTTCCACCACACGACAAAGGAGTCGGTACACAATGCCGACTCCTGGAAGTCAGGAACCCGCTTCCAAGTGTTGGTCAGTCATACTATGTACCATTCAGAAAGTAATTAGAAAGGTTGTTAATTATATTAGCGAGTTGTGGTTTCTTATCAGGTCCTCATAAACAGACTTGTGCTCATACACACACTTGTACTCACACACAGGTCCTCATAAACACACTTGTACTCATACACACAGTGTAACTTTGTCCCATGCAAAGTAATGTACGCATTCACGTCTGTAATTTTCCCTCCCTTTCGGCCAAAAATGCAGCTAGAGCTCCACAATTTTGGCAGGTCATAGCCTGTGTTTGTCATCAATGAGCCTGGGTTAGGGTTAATGCTAATGCTAATGTTAATGCTAATAATGATGGTGATGCTAATGCTAATAATGATGGTGATGCTAATGCTAATGGTGATGCTAATATTAATGGTGATGTCAGTGGTGATGCTAATGCAAATGCTAATGCTAATGCCAACTTAATGGGTTTTTGGGTCTCCTGCCAACCCAAACCAGTGGTAGGAGTGGCACTGCTCTACCACTACTACTTTTTTTCACAACACTTTAGAGAGACGCCAGTCACACAGCGGTCTCTCTGACACCAGCTGGACACGCTCAATGAAGGGCAAGTTCTTATTCCCAAGTTTTGCGCAAAGTTAGAGCTAGAGCTCTACAATTTGGACAGGTCATAGCCTGTGTTTATGTCATCTATGAGCCTGAATTTTGGGATTCTGCATGGTTGAGAACCCCCACAAAAATGTGGAAGCAGAACTTCCAGATTTTCATCTATTGCATTGCTTCCAACTTCCAGATTTTGAACTCACACAAAGGTTCTCATAAACACACTTGTACTCACACACAGGTCCTCATAAACACACTGGTCCTCATAAACACACTTGTACTCATACACACATTTGTACTCATAAACACACTTGTACTCACACACAGGTCCTCATAAACACACTGGTCATTAACACACGTGTATTCACACACAGGTCCTCATAAACACACTTGTACTCATACACACATTTGTACTCACACACAGGTCCTCATAAACACACTTGTACTCATACACACACTTGTACTCACACACACAGTGTGACTTTGTCCCATGCAAAGTAATGTACGCTTTCACGTCTGTATTATTCCCTCCCTTTCGGCCAAAAATGCAGCTAGAGCTCCACAATTTTGGCAGGTCATAGCCTGTGTTTATGTCATCAATGAGCCTGAATTCTGCATGGCTGAGAACCCCCTCAAAATGGATCCGAAAAAATGTGGAAGCAGAATCTGGAAGTTGCTTCCAACTTCCAGATTTTCATCTATTGCATTGCTTCCAACTTCCAGATTTTGAACTCACACACAGGTCCTCATAAACACACTGGTCCTCATTAACACACGTGTATTCACACACAGGTCCTCATAAACACACTTGTACTCATACACATTTGTACTCACACAGGTGCCGGTGCTGTTGGTGCTGGTGCTGGTCGGTGGTGCTGGTGCTGGTGCGGTGCTGGTGCTGGTGCGGTTGCTGTTGGTGCCGGTGCTGTTGGTGCTGGTGCGGTTGGTGCGGTTGGTGCCGGTGCGGTTGGTGCCGGTGGTGCTGCGGTTGGTGCTGGTGCGGTTGGTGCTGGTGCTGTTGGTGCTGGTGCTGTTGGTGCTGGTGCGGTTGGTGCCGGTGCGGTTGGTGCTGGTGCTGTTGGTGCCGGTGCTGTTGGTGCCGGTGCTGTTGGTGCTGGTGCGGTTGGTGCTGGTGCGGTTGGTGCCGGTGCTGTTGGTGCTGGTGCGGTTGGTGCTGGTGCTGTTGGTGCTGGTGCTGTTGGTGCTGGTGCGGTTGGTGCCGGTGCGGTTGGTGGGCTGGTGCTGTTGGTGCTGGTGCTGTTGGTGCTGGTGCGGTTGGTGCCGGTGCGGTTGGTGCTGGTGCTGTTGGTGCCGGTGCTGTTGGTGCCGGTGCTGTTGGTGCTGGTGCTGTTGGTGCTGGTGCGGTTGGTGCCGGTGCTGTTGGTGCTGGTGCGGTTGGTGCTGGTGCTGTTGGTGCTGGTGCTGTTGGTGCTGGTGCGGTTGGTGCCGGTGCGGTTGGTGCTGGTGCTGTTGGTGCCGGTGCTGTTGGTGCCGGTGCTGTTGGTGCTGGTGCGGTTGGTGCTGGTGCTGTTGGTGCTGGTGCTGTTGGTGCCGGTGCTGTTGGTGCTGGTGCGGTTGGTGCTGGTGCTGTTGGTGCTGGTGCGGTTGGTGCTGCTGCAGCGCTCACTAAATAATGCAACGCTCCGACGACGCTCTCTCCTCCCACAGACAACATCCTGATTAGTGAGTCCTGGTCTGTAAATGTTAATGCTCTTAACACCGTCACTCCTGCTCGCCGTCAAACCGCCGCCCGGAGCCCAGAGGAGAACACGACCGGACACATCACCGGGAACCGTGTGGGGGAGCGAGGTCATCCGGGAGTGTGTTCTCGCCACGGTGTGTCCAGAGGAATGACCTTGTTGTGTTCTCGAGCTCATTCCGACTACGTTTCCTGAGAACAGTAACGAGCTTGTGCGTCCAAAGCGTAAACACAGCTCATTATGAAGTCTGGTCAACAAGAGCCGGAGCCAGGTCTGGTGGAAGGCGGCGGCACAGGTGCGGATCAGAGGGTTTGAGGATGGAGAGAGAGAACTGAGACCAAACTGTGTTTGTCATAAAGTTTGGAGTAATCCTGGTGTGGATACGGCGCAGCGGTGAAGGGTTTAAATGTGTTTTCAGAACTTTAAGAGGCCCAAAGTCCCCGGCTCCCTCTTCACAAACACACTCTGCACTCATCAGAGACCAAGGAGGCAGCAACACTGTACTGCGGTGATACTACTGTGATACTACTGTAATACTGCTGTGATATATGCTGTGATACTACTGTGATACTGCTGTGATACTGCTGTGATACTGCGGTGATACTACTGTGATACTACTGTAATACTGCTGTGATATATGCTGTGATACTACTGTGATACTGCTGTGATACTGCTGTGATACTGCGGTGATACTGCTGTGATACTACTGTGATACTGCTGTGATACTGCTGTGATACTGCTGTGATACTACTGTGATACTACTGTGATACTGCTGTGATACTGCTGTGATACTGCTGTGATACTACTGTGATACTGCTGTGATACTACTGTGATACTGCTGTGATACTGCTGTGATACTGCTGTGATACTGCTGTGATACTGCTGTGATACTGCTGTGATACTGCTGTGATACTGCTGTGATACTACTGTGATACTGCTGTGATACTGCTGTGATACTGCTGTAATACTGCTGTGATACTACTGTGATACTACTGTGATACTGCTGTGATACTGCTGTGATACTGCTGTGATACTGCTGTGATACTGCTGTGATACTGCTGTGATACTGCTGTGATACTACTGTGATACTACTGTGATACTGCTGTGATACTGCTGTGATACTGCGGTGATACTGCTGTGATACTGCTGTGATACTACTGTGATACTGCTGTGATACTGCTGTGATACTACTGTGATACTACTGTGATACTGCTGTGATACTACTGTGATACTGCTGTGATACTGCTGTGATACTGCTGTGATACTACTGTGATACTACTGTGATACTGCTGTGATACTACTGTGATACTGCTGTGATACTGCTGTGATACTGCTGTGATACTACTGTGATACTACTGTGATACTGCTGTGATACTGCTGTGATACTGTAGCCCAGAGAGAGACCAGAGAGAGACCAGAGAGAGAGACCAGAGAGAGAGACCAAAACACATGAAGCCCTTGGTTCATAAGGAGCAGAGACCAATGTCCATAAATGTGGAGTGTCCTGGACCCTCCTGCATCAGAGCAACTCTAAAACCAGTGGGAGAAATTGAGATACCTCAAGGGGACCCCACACTGAGGGAGGGACGGAGAGGCTGTAGACCCAGGACTGAGGCTGTAGACCCAGGACTGAGGCTGTAGACCCAGGACTGAGGTCAGTTTCATGGAGTGAGATTTCTGTCACAGTTTGAAATGAAGGAAGGGCCTAAAATGCTGGAATGCCAAAAATATGATTTAATGAAGATTATGAAGTCAAAGTCCAGGGAAAACCAAACTCGAGAATCCAAAAAGAACCAGGAACAGCACAGACATGGACAGAGACCAGAACTCCAAAGCAATGACAAGATCTACCCAATGTTTGAGGAAACCTTAAAAGGGTAAAGTAACGTATTTAAAACCTATTTAAAGTCTGTGGCACAGTTTATGTCTGTGAGTGAATGTAATCCTGAGAGCTCCTGACGTCTTCTCTTCTTCTTTAATCTCTACTTTTTCATAGTTTATCCTTCTTTACCGGATTATACACGATCTCCCATAATTCACCTTTACATACATGTACTACCCACCCAGCTGCATGTGTGCCGAGCATGTACCGTCGCTAATCCCCGTAAAGATCCCACTCCGGGACCTAAACATAGACGTCTAACCAGCTCCAAATGTCTTTCACGTGGAGGCGTTTCCCATTTCTCTGGCAGCTCATTGAAACCAAGTCTATTTCAGAGAATAATAGTCCGGTGGCTTTCTCTCAGGGACACGCCGTTTTCTGACACGTTCCAAGGCTCTCGCTGCTTTAGTCCTTTTACATTCTTAGACAAAGGTACAGAAAGGGATGTTTTCAGCGGTGCAGAAAGGCGGCCTGACATCGCAGAGTCATGCACGGAGCGGCAAAAGCTAAGTTTGTTATTACAGCAAATCGTCTTGAGGAAAAAAATGTCCAGTCAAAAAGAGAACTAGTTTTTCTTTCTTAAAAGTAGAGAAAAGAAATGAAAAGTGCGGCGTGCAAAAGTATTCGTACACTTTAAAAGCAAGAAAGTCATTGGTCCTTAAGAGGAAAATGTCGGCAATAAAATATATATAAAAAATGTGGAATACCAGAAGCGTCCTGTATTTGTCTCCCTCCATTTCTTCTTTCTGTCCCATCAACTCTGTCACTCATCCCTGTCCCTGCTGAAGGAAAGCAGCCCCACAACATGATGCTACCACCCCCGTGTTTGCGACTGCAGTTGAGCAGGGTTAGTTTTGAGCCGTATGTTACATTTTCATTCAGACCAAAGCTTGTACCTGCTTTGATTCTTGTGGATGTGGGCTGCTCCTCCACAGTGACCATGGGCCTCGTGGCTGCATCTGTGCGTTTGGGTAGATTTGCAGCTGTGTAATCCTCTTTCCGTTTATGATTATTTTATTTTTAGTGTCTACTCACAGGCTGAAAATAATAACGGAAGTAGTGACGCCTTTTTTAGGATTTAGCTTTTCAAAATGGCCGCGGGTAGCCCCTCCCACAGGAAAATGGTAAAAACAAAACCTCATGCTTTGGACCGAGAACCACTTTTGGACCAAGAGCCACTTTTGGACCAAGAGCCACTTTTGGACCAAGAACCACTTTTGGACCAAGACCCACTTTTGGACCAAGACCCACTTTTGGACCAAGACCCACTTTTGGACCAAGACCCACTTTTGGACCAAGAGCCACTTTTGGACCAAGAGCCACTTTTGGACCAAGAGCCACTTTTGGGGATCAGAATGAATGTATTTAATGGGGGTATATAAAACTTTTCAAAGTGTGGGATGAATAAATTATCTTTTAATCTGCACGTGTCAGTCTGGACGGCCCTGAGGTTGGACCGTGGAGTAAATGTGTTTTCTATTCTTTCATTTCTTGTGTTTGAACTCTTTGATTCTCTGATCTGTGTTGGAAAAGTCAGAGGTTTTGTTCAGTCTTCCGAGGGAACTGCTGTTGTGATTTAGGGCGATTCAAGAACACATTGAATTGAATTGAACTGGAAATGTCTCCTTTAAGGCCGTCCAAAAGCCCACTCCCCTCGGCCCCCGCAGCCAGAGCTTGATCTCCCACTTCATCTGAAACATGTGAAACACCGTTACCGAGCGGCGTTCCCGAGCGGCGTTCCCGAGCGGCGTTCCCGAGCGGCGTTCCCGAGCGGCGAGAACATAACACACTCATCGCATTTCCCAGAATTCCTTGGTGCTGCTTTCATTATTCAGCCAAAAGTTAGTGGTGATTTACAGCCTCGGTCTCTGGAACCTCCCGCCTCCCCCCGGCCCGCCCCTGGTTCCAGAGAAGGCTCATTGCTTAGCCTAGTTTTGTGTCTACACTCTGTGGTCTGCGGCGAGGCGGGAACATGACCCCAGTTGCACTAAATATAGAACACACTCTATACCGGGACTAGGACAAAAAGGGGCTCAGGGAAGAGGCGGGAAAAGGGAAAACTAGTGTTAGCATCAGGAGGTTATTAGCATCAGGAGGTTATTAGCATCAGGAGGTTATTAGCATCAGGAGGTTATTAGCATCAGGAGGTTATTAGCATCAGGAGGTTATTAGCATCAGGAGGTTATTAGCATCAGGAGGTCATGAAGATCAATGTTAGAGATGGAGAGTTCCTGGATATGACCCACAGCCTCAGTCCTGGGTCCACAGCCTCAGTCCTGGGTCTGCAGCCTCAGTCCTGGGTCCACAGCCTCAGTCCTAGGTCTACAGCCTCGGTCCTGGGTCTACAGCCTCAGTCCTGGGTCTACAGCCTCAGTCCTGGGTCTACAGCCTCAGTCCTGGGTCTACAGCCTCAGTCCTGGGTCTACAGCCTTAGTCCTGGGTCTACAGTCTCAGTCCTGGGTCTACAGCCTCAGTCCAGGGTCTACAGCCTCAGTCCTGGGTCTACAGCCTTAGTCCTGGGTCTACAGCCTCAGTCCTGGGTCTTCAGCCTCAGTCCTGGGTCTACAGCCTCAGTCCTGGGTCTACAGCCTCAGTCCTGGGTCTACAGCCTCAGTCCTGGGTCTACAGCCTCAGTCCTGGGTCTACAGCCTCAGTCCTGGGTCTACAGCCTCAGTCCTGGGTCTACAGCCTCAGTCCTGGGTCTACAGCCTCAGTCCTGGGTCTACAGCCTCAGTCCTGGGTCTACAGTCTCTACGTTTCTAAAGCGACCTGTGATTAAAATGCAAATGTTCGTATGTGGAACGTCCCGGAGCGAAGCAATTCCACCTGCACCACACAGAGCAACACAACACACACACACAGAGCAACACAACACACACATAGCAACAGAACACACAGAGCAACACAACACACACAGAGCAACACAACACACACATAGCAACAGAACACACAGAGCAACACAACACACACAGAGCAACACAACACACACATAGCAACAGAACACACAGAGCAACACAACACACACAGAGCAACACAACACAGCAACACACAGAGTAACACAACACACACACACAGCGCAACACAATCCCACTTAGAGCAACACATACACACCCAAAGCAACACAAACACACACAGAGCAACACAAACACACACAGAGCAACACAACCCTGCGATAGAAGCAGCCGAGGTGACGCAACATCAGGTAGGTCTTGCCTTTCCCTGATGTTATAGTATCCGGAGCTGGCTCTTTGATAGTGTGTGTGTGTCTGTGTGTGCGTCTGTGTGTGTGTCTGTGTGTGTGCATCTGTCGGTGTGTGCGTCTGTGTGTGTGTGTCTCTGTGTGTGCGTCTGCGTGTGTATCTGTCTGTGTGTGTGCATCTGTCGGTGTGTGCGTCTGTGTGTGTGTGTCTCTGTGTGTGCGTCTGCGTGTGTATCTGTCTGTGTGTGTGTCTGTGTGTGTGCATCTGTCGGTGTGTGCGTCTGTGTGTGTGTGTGTGTGTGTCTGTGTGTGCGTCTGTGTGTGTGTCTGTGTGTGCATCTGTCTGTGTGTGCGTCTGTGTGTGTGTCTGTGTGTGTGTCTCTGTGTGTGCGTCTGTGTGTGTGTCTGTCTGTGTGTGTGCGTCTGTGTGTGTGCGATGAAATGAGAGAAGTTGGTAGGTTGTCGCAGGGAAACTGTGTGCGTTATTCCTTCCAACTGTGTTGTGTGTGTGTGGCGGATATGATGAGGAAACAAATCAATACAAGACTCCATCCTTGGCCCTCAAACTCGGCCATAGCCTCAGAAAGCTAGCAGATATTCTTGAATGTGACTCAAAAATGGAGCATTGTGTTGATGAACTATTTATTAAAAACCTCCAACGAAGCCGGCTGCTTTTTGAGAAGAGGTGGGACGTCTGTGTTTCTTCTGCTGCCCTACAGACCCTCCGGCAAGCCAAGTGGAACACTCCGGACCTGCTCCCTCTGACTGAGGACGTTAGAGCCATGCATGCACATATTGAGGTATGTCGACCTGAATATGTGCAAACCCTAATAAGTGAGCCAACGTCTAAGCATTGGTCTAAACTGGCAGTTTTGACTCTTTGTGAGGTCATCATTTTCAATCGAAGAAGGGAAGGTGAGGTTTCAAAGATGCCACTGACAGCCTTTACCTTAAGAAGTAAGACTGGGATCCATTCTGACATTGCTCTGGGACTGTCCCAACTTGAGAAAAAGCTGTGTCAGCATTTTCAACGCATTGAAATTAAAGGGAAAAGAAGTGGGAAAGTGCCGGTTCTTTTGACTCCTGAAATGATTGCTTTGATGGAGGTGCTGGTGGAGAACAGAAGGGCCTGTTCCATCTCTGACCATAACCCATACTTCTTTTCCCGCCCGGGCGCAGACACCCACATCAGGGGATCAGACTCCCTACGCCAGGTAGCCAAAGAATGTGGTGCGGTGCATCCAGAGATGCTATCCTCAACCAAACTTAGAAAGCACATAGCTACTATGTCTACAGTTCTCAATATGAAAGAGAATGAGATGGACATACTAGCCAACTTCCTCGGCCATGACATTCGCATCCACAGGCAATATTACAGACTACCAGAGGGGACACTGGAGCTGGCCAAAATCAGCAAAGTGTTGATGGCCATGGAGCAGGGAAGAGTGACGGAATTCGAAGGAAAGAGCCTCGACCAGATACAAATTGAGCCTGAAGGTAATTCTTGATATTATTAAAATATGTATGATTTTTTTCCCCTAAAGGCCACTTGTATTTTTATTTTCTGTGCGACAGGGAGAGCAGTAGAGATCCTCTCACAAACGGACGGGCTAAAAGAAACTTCAAGCGGAGAACCTTCAACCATTCATCCAGATGCACCCCATGGTAGTGGCAGTGCCCCTTCTGGTAAGTGTACCAGGTGGGGGATTACAGCCAGGCTGCTTGGTCCTAACCCTGGGAGTGTATATTGCTAATATATTTTTATTTCTCTCCCTAGAACGTGTAAGAAAGCCATGGTCTGCATCTGAGGTGAAGGCTGTGGAGAAGACCATGACACCTTTCATACAGACTGGAAAGGTCCCTGGGAAGTCTCACTGCCTGGCCTGCATTAATGCCTCACCAGATGACCTTAGACATCGGACATGGAGTGGCATTAAATTCTATGTCAAAAATAGAATCACTGCAATTCGAAAACAAAATCTAAAATAAAATTCCTTTAAAATAGTTGTTTGGTTTCTATTGACTGTTTTGTATTACTTAAAGTCTTGGTAAAAAAAGATTATGTCTATGGGTCCCATTCTGAACGGCCCTGTCAAAGGGACCCACCAGGTAACAAAAACGTGTATGTGTGAGTGCGCATGTGTGTGTGTGTGTGTGTGGGTGTGTGTGAGTGCGCATGTGTGTGTGTGTGTGTGGGTGTAATTAAGATCATTATTAGCAAATTGCAAAGAACACATTAGAGAGAGATGTCGCTTTCCCGGTGTTCTGGGATCTACAACAGGCCTAGAAATAAAAGGATTACTAAAAATGTGTATGTGCGCATGTACCTGTGTATAGATGTGTGTGCGTGTGTGTGTGTGTGTATGTGTGTGTGTGTGTGTGCACATGAACCTGTTTATATGCGTTTTTGTGTGAGCATGTACCTATTTTTATTTGTGTGTGTGTATGCGTAATGTTCTTGTCTATACGTATGTGTGTGTGTGTGTGTGTGTGTGTGTGTGTGCATGTACTTGTTTATAGGTGTAGGTGTGTGTGTGAGCATGTACCTGTTTATATGTGTGTGTGTGCACATGTACCTGTTTATAGTTGTATGTGTGCGCCATAGACTAAATATTAACGGACGTTGTCACGCTTATCTCCGCCGTACAAAAGCATTGGATAATTCTCTTTCTGGGTGCACCTCAGAAAGAGAATCGTAAATGTGTGTAGGTGTCTGTGCGTGTGCATGTAGGTGTCTGAGCGTGTGCATGTAGGTGTCTGAGCGTGTGCATGTAAGTGTCTGAGCGTGTGCATGTAGGTGTCTGAGCGTGTGCATGTAAGTGTCTGAGCGTGTGCATGTAGGTGTCTGAGCGTGTGCATGTAGGTGTCTGAGCGTGTGCATGTAGGTGTCTGAGCGTGTGCATGTAGGTGTCTGAGCGTGTGCATGTAGGTGTCTGAGCGTGTGCATGTAGGTGTCTGAGCGTGTGCATGTAGGTGTCTGAGCGTGTAAATGTAGGTGTCTGAGCGTGTGCATGTAAGTGTCTGAGCGTGTGCATGTAAGTGTCTGAGCGTGTGCATGTAAGTGTCTGAGCATGTGCATGTAAGTGTCTGAGCGTGTGCATGTAGGTGTCTGAGCGTGTGCATGTAGGTGTCTGAGCGTGTGCATGTAGGTGTCTGAGCGTGTGCATGTAAGTGTCTGAGCGTGTGCATGTAAGTGTCTGAGCGTGTGCATGTAGGTGTCTGAGCGTGTGCATGTAAGTGTCTGAGCGTGTGCATGTAAGTGTCTGAGCGTGTGCATGTAGGTGTCTGAGCGTGTGCATGTAGGTGTCTGAGCGTGTGCATGTAGGTGTCTGAGCGTGTGCATGTAAGTGTCTGAGCGTGTGCATGTAGGTGTCTGTGCGTGTGCATGTAGGTGTCTGAGCGTGTGCATGTAGGTGTCTGTGCGTGTGCATGTAGGTGTCTGAGCGTGTGCATGTAGGTGTCTGTGCGTGTGCATGTAAGTGTCTGAGCGTGTGCATGTAGGTGTCTGTGCGTGTGCATGTAGGTGTCTGAGCGTGTGCATGTAGGTGTCTGAGCGTGTGCATGTAGGTGTCTGAGCGTGTGCATGTAGGTGTCTGAGCGTGTGCATGTAGGTGTCTGAGCGTGTGCATGTAGGTGTCTGAGCGTGTGCATGTAGGTGTCTGAGCGTGTGTGTGCATGTAGGTGTCTGAGCGTGTGCATGTAGGTGTCTGAGCGTGTGCATGTAGGTGTCTGAGCGTGTGCTTGTAGGTGTCTGAGCGTGTGCATGTAGGTGTCTGAGCGTGTGCATGTAGGTGTCTGAGCGTGTGCATGTAGGTGTCTGAGCGTGTGCATGTAGGTGTCTGAGCGTGTGCATGTAGGTGTCTGAGCGTGTGCATGTAGGTGTCTGAGCGTGTGCATGTAAGTGTCTGAGCGTGTGCATGTAAGTGTCTGAGCGTGTGCATGTAAGTGTCTGAGCGTGTGCATGTAGGTGTCTGAGCGTGTGCATGTAGGTGTCTGAGCGTGTGCATGTAGGTGTCTGAGCGTGTGCATGTAGGTGTCTGAGTGTGTGCATGTAGGTGTCTGAGCGTGTGCATGTAGGTGTCTGTGCGTGTGCATGTAGGTGTCTGAGCGTGTGCATGTAAGTGTCTGAGCGTGTGCATGTAGGTGTCTGAGCGTGTGCATGTAAGTGTCTGAGCGTGTGCATGTAAGTGTCTGAGCGTGTGCATGTAGGTGTCTGTGCGTGTGCATGTAAGTGTCTGAGCGTGTGCATGTAAGTGTCTGAGCGTGTGCATGTAAGTGTCTGAGCGTGTGCATGTAGGTGTCTGAGCGTGTGCATGTAGGTGTCTGAGCGTGTGCATGTAAGTGTCTGAGCGTGTGCATGTAAGTGTCTGTGCGTGTGCATGTAGGTGTCTGTGCGTGTGCATGTAAGTGTCTGAGCGTGTGCATGTAGGTGTCTGAGCGTGTGCATGTAGGTGTCTGAGCGTGTGCATGTAAGTGTCTGAGCGTGTGCATGTAAGTGTCTGAGCGTGTGCATGTAAGTGTCTGAGCGTGTGCATGTAGGGTTGAGCGTTGCATGTAGGTGTCTGAGCGTGTGCATGTAGGTGTCTGAGCGTGTGCATGTAAGTGTCTGTGCGTGTGCATGTAAGTGTCTGTGCGTGTGCATGTAGGTGTCTGTGCGTGTGCATGTAGGTGTCTGTGCGTGTGCATGTAAGTGTCTGTGCGTGTGCATGTAGGTGTCTGTGCGTGTGCATGTAAGTGTCTGTGCGTGTGCATGTAGGTGTCTGAGCGTGTGCATGTAGGTGTCTGAGCGTGTGCATGTAGGTGTCTGAGCGTGTGCATGTAGGTGTCTGAGCGTGTGCATGTAGGTGTCTGAGCGTGTGCATGTAGGTGTCTGAGCGTGTGCATGTAGGTGTCTGAGCGTGTGCATGTAGGTGTCTGAGCGTGTGCATGTAGGTGTCTGAGCGTGTGCATGTAGGTGTCTGCGTGTGCATGTAGGTGTCTGTGCGTGTGCATGTAAGTGTCTGTGCGTGTGCATGTAGGTGTCTGAGCGTGTGCATGTAGGTGTCTGTGCGTGTGCATGTAGGTGTCTGAGCGTGTGCATGTAGGTGTCTGAGCGTGTGCATGTAGGTGTCCGAGCGTGTGCATGTAGGTGTCTGAGCGTGTGCATGTGTCTGAGCGTGTGCATGTAGGTGTCTGAGCGTGTGCATGTAAGTGTCTGAGCGTGTGCATGTAAGTGTCTGAGCGTGTGCATGTAAGTGTCTGAGCGTGTGCATGTAGGTGTCTGAGCGTGTGCATGTAGGTGTCTGAGCGTGTGCATGTAGGTGTCTGAGCGTGTGCATGTAGGTGTCTGAGCGTGTGCATGTAGGTGTCTGAGCGTGTGCATGTAGGTGTCTGTGCGTGTGCATGTAGGTGTCTGAGCGTGTGCATGTAAGTGTCTGAGCGTGTGCATGTAGGTGTCTGAGCGTGTGCATGTAAGTGTCTGAGCGTGTGCATGTAGGTGTCTGAGCGTGTGCATGTAAGTGTCTGAGCGTGTGCATGTAAGTGTCTGAGCGTGTGCATGTAGGTGTCTGTGCGTGTGCATGTAAGTGTCTGAGCGTGTGCATGTAAGTGTCTGAGCGTGTGCATGTAAGTGTCTGAGCGTGTGCATGTAAGTGTCTGAGCGTGTGCATGTAAGTGTCTGAGCGTGTGCATGTAGGTGTCTGAGCGTGTGCATGTAGGTGTCTGAGCGTGTGCATGTAAGTGTCTGTGCGTGTGCATGTAAGTGTCTGTGCGTGTGCATGTAGCTGTCTGTGCGTGTGCATGTAGGTGTCTGTGCGTGTGCATGTAAGTGTCTGTGCGTGTGCATGTAGGTGTCTGTGCGTGAGCATGTAAGTGTCTGTGCGTGTGCATGTAGGTGTCTGAGCGTGTGCATGTAGGTGTCTGTGCGTGTGCATGTAAGTGTCTGTGCGTGTGCATGTAGGTGTCTGTGCGTGTGCATGTAGGTGTCTGTGCGTGTGCATGTAAGTGTCTGTGCGTGTGCATGTAGGTGTCTGTGCGTGTGCATGTAAGTGTCTGTGCGTGTGCATGTAGGTGTCTGAGCGTGTGCATGTAAGTGTCTGTGCGTGTGCATGTAAGTGTCTGTGCGCGTGTGCATGTAGGTGTCTGTGCGTGTGCATGTAGGTGTCTGTGCGTGTGCATGTAGGTGTCTGAGCGTGTGCATGTAGGTGTCTGAGCGTGTGCATGTAGGTGTCTGAGCGTGTGCATGTAGGTGTCTGAGCGTGTGCATGTAGGTGTCTGAGCGTGTGCATGTAGGTGTCTGAGCGTGTGCATGTAGGTGTCTGAGCGTGTGCATGTAAGTGTCTGTGCGTGTGCATGTAGGTGTCTGTGCGTGTGCATGTAGGTGTCTGTGCATGTGCATGTAAGTGTCTGAGCGTGTGCATGTAGGTGTCTGAGCGTGTGCATGTAGGTGTCTGAGCGTGTGCATGTAAGTGTCTGAGCGTGTGCATGTAAGTGTCTGAGCGTGTGCATGTAAGTGTCTGAGCGTGTGCATGTAGGTGTCTGAGCGTGTGCATGTAGGTGTCTGAGCGTGTGCATGTAAGTGTCTGAGCGTGTGCATGTAGGTGTCTGAGCGTGTGCATGTAAGTGTCTGTGCGTGTGCATGTAAGTGTCTGTGCGTGTGCATGTAGGTGTCTGTGCGTGTGCATGTAGGTGTCTGTGCGTGTGCATGTAAGTGTCTGTGCGTGTGCATGTAGGTGTCTGTGCGTGTGCATGTAAGTGTCTGTGCGTGTGCATGTAGGTGTCTGAGCGTGTGCATGTAGGTGTCTGTGCGTGTGCATGTAAGTGTCTGTGCGTGTGCATGTAGGTGTCTGTGCGTGTGCATGTAGGTGTCTGTGCGTGTGCATGTAAGTGTCTGTGCGTGTGCATGTAGGTGTCTGTGCGTGTGCATGTAA